TAACTTCCACACAAGAAAGGTAATAAAACAACCAAAAATAATGTGAGACTAACACATGTTTCTCAATACAATAAGTCAAAAAGAGTTTGGCAATAAAGTGGCACTAAATATGTGGAAAAAATCATTTTAAAAAATCCACTCTCAGACAAAACAGTCAAATAATGACTCACATGGCTCATTCTTAAGTAAGTAAAATAAAAAAACAAGACTGTTTTGGTTTGTTCTGTTTGATTTGGTCACAATATTTTACTTTTGTGCAAATAAAATATGCATTTTCAATGCAAGCAAAAATTTAGGTACGAAACCTCGGGGAGACCCACATATTGAGAGAGGGATCCGCTCCACATGGATGGACGGGCTATAGATCCAGGACCTAAGCTACAGAACGTGGACCAGGGCCACGCAGCGGCCGCAGAATGTGGACAGGTCCGGTGCAGAACTCAAACAGCTCCCAAGCGGGTCAGGCAGGTGTTAGTAGAGTTGTTGGATTTTCATTAAAGTGAATTAGAATATATTCAAGGTTTAGACAGCTTTGGGTTAACCTACGTGTGTGATGGGATGTGATGGACGCATCAGCAGCATTCTCCCATCCCCCAGCCATTAAACACAGGAAGTTAAATTAAGAAGAGCGCAGAAAACATCTGTTTAGAGTAGCCTCAGGCTTACTTTGAGAGGGGCTATTTGTTTGTCCTGAACATAGGAGGTATTGTCTTCACCTAAGGATGGTGGGACATATTGTTGCATGTGTTTCAAATTATCAGGGTATAAGACGAGAGCTCTTTGGTCCATTCTTTGTCACTCTTCTGCTTTCCATCTAGCAGAGACCCAGACTAGACTGTAGTCTGTAAAACTTGTCTGTTTGTGCTGATGTCCAGATAACCTGTAGTTTTGAACCAGCGGCTGACAACATGTATTAAAGAGATTATGTTGTTGAAATGTGACTAGTTATTCACATATTTTGGTCCTTCGAGCCGGATGCCAACATGCTTTTCTGCGGAGCTGAGGATGCCTCAAACATGGAGTTTGGAGCAACGGTGAGGTCTTCTTCATTCAGAACTGCTTTGAGAACTCCATCTTTGAGGCATGGCCAGTCTCCGGATTGAATTTGACGGCAGAACTAGAGTTTCTGGACATCCACATGGACAAGGTAAAACTAATTTTTTCAAAAAAAAAAGAAACTAAATTTAAATCGTCTTTGAAGGCAGGAAATCCATTTTATCTCCTCAAAAAGCATTGGGGCAGTGAGATATCACACACTTCTAAGAAAGTGGAGAATTTAAAAGGGTGAAAGTCCCCGTTGGTTAGTTCATCGGTACCAACAAAGCGACAGAATAGATGAAACTTCTATCCACTGGGTGAATAAACATCCTCAGAGAAGAGAAAACAAATTCTGCACTATGGACGCATACGTGTAGTTGGAAAACCAGATCTGGCCATTTGAGGGAAAATGGAACATTTTGAGAGTGGTGATTTATTCTTCAGCCGATTAGTGACTTTTTGGTAGAACTTTGTGGTAGCCTGCATAATAAGACAACAATTTTTCTAAATAATAATTTAAATTGGAAATTGAAATTTAGATATAAAGGCCTAAAGTGTGAGTGTGTGTGTGTGTGCGTGCACGTTTGAGGTGCATCCTTTGTGTCCCCTTCTGCCTTTCCCCCTCTCCCCCCCCTCCCTGTTCCCCCTCTTCCCCTCATCCCCCTTCTCCCGTGCTCCCAATTCTGTCCCTCCCGTCTGCTCAACTCTAGTTGAGTGGAGTAGTAAGTTTGTTATAGTTTAACTACTTTTGTTAATGCTAGCTACATTAACAAAAATAATTAAAAAGGGGTGGAACCAGTGATAAACATTTTACTGGTGAAAACATTTGGTAATGAGATTAGAGAATCATAGATAGATTTGAATTGACTTGAGCTGTGAAATTTTTGTGATTGGACAACTTTAAAGTTACTACATTTGGTACAAGCTCAAATGGATTAGGTTGAGACTGAATTAGATTGATGATAGATAAGACTCAAAGTTAGCCTAGCTTTTTGATTTTTGTTTGCTTATGATCACAAAAGCTGGTATTTTGTACACACAAGTAGACTTTTATGTTTATTTTTGGGTTTGATTTGGAGTTTTTGTTTGTTTTGTGAGTAACTGTCTTTATGTGTAAGATTTAACAGACTAACATCTCCTCTTATGTGAGCAGTATTTGTTTGTTTGTTACTTCAGGTTTTGCATGTAACTGTTTGTCTTCTGTGTCTAGGACTTAACTGACTAAACTAACAGACTATAAGATGAATAGGAAAGGTGGGAAGAGAGAGCGAGAGAGGAGTCAGTTTCAGGAAGGAAAAAGAAAGGGTGATAGTAAAGATAGAAGCAATGATTTATGCTTAAAATGTCACAAGAGTGGACACTGGAAGAGGGATTGTACAGAAAGTGTTGAGTATGTTAGGAGAAAGACTAACGAAGTAGCAATGGATAATTGTAATGTTAACAGCAGGTTAGAATTAACACTTGATTTTTGTGAAGAACACATGGCTTCACTCAGTCTGGGAAAGCTGAGTGATTTAAAAAACATTTTAGATGTGCAGGGAAAAATGTTGAAACAGCAGAAGAAGTTTCTAGATGCATGTATTAAGATTAAACAATGCAAAGAAGTCATGAGTGAGTCAACACTAATGTTTTCTTCTGTTTCTGAGTCCATCACAGTCAGTCAAAGAGAGACAGGGAAACACCTAAAACACCACTTTTGATGCTCAAAAGCTCAGAGTTCATTCCTGTGAAGGAGACGCCCACTCCCACCCCCACCAATCATCAACCAGCAAATCAGCAGGCCAAACCAGGCCAAACCAAGCCAAACCAAGCCAAACCAGCAGGCCAAACCAAGGGCTAAATGCTGCAACTACAGAAGCAATGATGCAAAGGGTCATCCAGAGGTCAGACTCAAATCAACAACTTGACTCTCTGTGTGTTTGGGACATTTTGCAGATTTCCAAAACATCTGAAAGACTGGGTTGACCGAAGACATCACCTTTGTGCAAAGATCTGAGGACTGGAGGTTTCCAGTTTTTGCTGTCGGTTCTAAAGTGTGTGAACAGGACAGAGGCTTCTGGACATGATGGGGCTGTGCTGGATGGGGCTGGACGTTGCTGGCTGCAGAAGACATTGGGGTGTGGAGGCGTTTCTACAACAGGCGTTACTGGACAATAGGCTTTTTGATGTGGTGTTTAATTTGCTAACCAAAGTTGACACATTTCAAGTTAATACATTTCAGGTGAAAACATTCCAGTTTAATACATTTCAAATGAACGTTTAGTTTATACATTTTGATGCTACATTAATTTACATGAGTAAATTGGGTATTTGTGTCTTTTTCATTTCATGCACATGAATAATTAGGAATTATGTTCAGTTATTGAGCCATTTTTAATGTCTCAAACAGGGGGGAGATATGGTTTATAGGGGAGTAATTCTATACATATGAAATGATCTCTAAAAAAACTTTTTTGGGTTCTTTTCTGTGTGTGTTTCTGTAACCAATGTGATTTTTATAAGACACATGTCAAGAGGGGTCTCTAAGTTGAGTCGACGCAACTTGGATTCAAATGTAATACTGTGTTTGTATTAATTTCATTGTGTTCCATCTTAAAGTTGGTTTACTAAACATTGAATGTGATTAATTCTTTTAATGAAAAACAGGAGGGAAATGTTAGTAGAGTTGTTGGATTTTCATTAAAGTGAATTAGAATATATTCAAGGTTTAGACAGCTTTGGGTTAACCTACGTGTGTGATGGGATGTGATGGACGCATCAGCAGCATTCTCCCATCCCCCAGCCATTAAACATAGGAAGTTAAATTAAGAAGAGCGCAGAAAACATCTGATTAGAGTAGCCTCAGGCTTACTTTGAGAGGGGCTATTTGTTTGTTCTGAACATAGGAGGTATTGTCTTCACCTAAGGATGGTGGGACATATTGTTGCATGTGTTTCAAATTATCAGGGTATAAGACGAGAGCTCTTTGGTCCATTCTTTGTCACTCTTCTGCTTTCCATCTAGCAGAGACCCAGACTAGACTGTAGTCTGTAAAACTTGTCTGTTTGTGCTGATGTCCAGATAACCTGTAGTTTTGAACCAGCGGCTGACAACATGTATTAAAGAGATTATGTTGTTGAAATGTGACTAGTTATTCACAGCAGGGCAGTCCGCAGGTGTAGATGGAGGAGGCCAGGCTCAGAGGTCCCGTCGTCGCACCATGAAACAGACAATGGGACAACGGGTAAGTCTTACCTTCCTAACCATATGCTAAACTAAAGAAGAGTGGAGCAAGATGGCGCCGTGTCATGGCGCCGCAGTGAGAGCTCTAGTGTGCACAATCTGTGTTTTGTTGCTGTTTGTCTTTGAGTCACTTGCCACTGTGAAGTATGACCGAGAGGCGCTTCTTAACATTCAGAACCTTGCGTGTGACGGGTCACTCGTACTACCCGAACTGAGGTGCACAAACTTCCTCGAGTGTCCCACTCGAGAGGCCCGTGGAGCACGGCAGGCGGGACCGGGGCGTCTCCGGCGTTCTCTCCGCGGTGTGGAGCTGGGCACCTCGAGTCGGCGAAGGAGGCGCAGATGTCACTATTTGGTCCTACACCACCAAAAATACTTCCACTCTTAGGAAATGATGCAACCAGATAAAAGTTAACAGTGTTTAATGTGTTTCATTCAACGTTAAAAGCAACGTATTTTAAAAGAGTCAATGGAGTCTAAAAATAGGTCTAAGCCTGTTTCTCCAGTAAAAGTATGTACAATATATACCAGGAGCGCCTAAACTACTTTGGGGAGGGGAGTAAGGGGGATAACACGACGTCCAGAGGGGAGGGTTGAGCAGTCCAGTCTGTGAGGGCCCGTCCACAATCACGCCCCTCTGAAATGGTCTGTGGACAAGGGAGATTCTCAATGCCAGCCAGGTACGACGAAACACACAGGCCATAGGAGTAGCAGAGTAAGTGGGGAAGCGTCCCTTTTACTTATCTTGGTGCTGGCCTTTTCTCCACACTCCTGGTGGGCTCCGATAGTGCGCGCGCGCAGATTGGGTGTGCGTCTCGAACCCTGGCGTCCTGTAAATCCCTGGGACGCTCCTGCTGCACCGCGTCCGTCCGCCACAGAAGACTTGCGACCCGTCTCGTCTGTTCCGCGCTGATCCTGGTGCCGCTCCGGGCTGGTACAGGGGCTGCTCCTGGGGCCGCTCCTCGAGTGTCCTGCGTGTCCCTTCTGCGTGTCCCTACTGTCGAGTCTCGTCTCAAGCTCTGCTTCAGTTTCCGCGTTCCCTGAGGGCCGGCTCTGGGCGGTTTATATAGTTCATCCTATAGATCTGCGTCCAATAGTATGCCGCTATAGGTCTATTGGGGGGGGGGGGGGGGGGTGGTTACAGTGTGCTCCACTCGCTAAAGTCATTCTGTAGCCCCTGCAAACTACACACTGCACACAAGGTATACGGTGGCTATAGGAAAATGGTTAATGTGCATAGAGTTCTCAGCCCATACCTCGCCATTTGACATTTCCCCCCTCGTTTAACTTTGGTCGTCCCGGCCAATCATTACCTAAAACGTGGAGGTGGATTGCCCAAGTTGCGTCTCTGCGACCTTCTGACCTGTGGTTCTATTGGAGCAGCCTGGGGTCTCTGGGGTCCAATTTCAACCGGACTTGGTGCTCTGGGTTGAACTTGTTGCGAATCCATTACTCCTGGTATCCAGTAGGCTCCAGGTGGCAGACAGGGCTGTTGACTGGGTCCTGCTTGTGGCTTTGGCTCAGTTGGGGGAGCCTCCTGTAAAATAGTCAGAGGACACGGGCGAAGGTTATTCCTATGTATGGTGCGAGTAGGTCCCACTCTACCTTCTGGTCTAACCACATATACAGGGTGGCCTTCACTTAGGTTTTTCACCACCACCCATGGCTCAAACTTCCATCGATGTGCCAGCTTGCCCTGTGCTCGCCAGCGGAAATTTTGAATCAGCACCCGTTCACCCGGTAGAAGTGGCGGTAGACGAGCCCTCTGATCATGCCTGTGTCTGTCTTGCTCCCTGCGACGTTGCGAAATTTGCTCGGCAACATCATAAGCACCTCGTAAAGCTTTCTGGTGCTGCCTAACCCAGCTGTCCAGCGTGTAAGACTCAAGGGGGGGTTTCAAGCCGACCACCCAATCCACAGGTAGCCTTGCATGTCTCCCAAATAACACATAGTGTGGAGTCATCCCGGTTGCGCTGTGGACTGTATTATTATATGCTTGGACTAGCGCTGGTAGCCGTTGGGACCACTGGGCCTGCTGGCTCTCCGAAAGCGAATTAAGCAGTTGCAGGAGAGTTTGATTAAACCGTTCACAGGCTCCGTTTCCCTGGGGGTGATAGGCTGTGGTTCGACTTTTTGTACAACCATATATCTGACACAACTGGCTCATAAGGGTGGATTCAAACGCCGCTCCACGATCTGTGAGGATTCTTTCGGGGCACCCAAAGGTCACGATCAAGTTGCGATAGAGGGCTTGGACAGTGGATTCTGCGGATCCACTGCACTGCACACTGGTTGGCACAGCAATAGCATATTTAGAAAATAGATCGGTCAGGACAAGAATATAGGGGTACTTATCTTGGGGCCGTCCTAGCGAGAGATAGTCCACGCTCACAACTTCGAACGGATAGGAGGTATGGATTGGAAGCAAAGGGGCCCGTCCATCTGGTCCAGCCTTTGCCTTTTGATTGTTTTCTAGCGGCCTGTAAGACTTATTATGAGACGGTTCGCAGGAGCCATCAATATGCCAAGCCAGAAAACTCATTGAGGGCGGACGTTACGAAGAGTTCAGCTCGGAGTCGAGTGAGAAGAAAGAGGGTAAGACTAAACTGCATCGCACAGTAAGGCAAGGGAGGTTTATTTGTGTAGCACAATTCATACACAAGGAAACTCAAAGTGCTGAACAAAAGAAAGCATTAATATAAATAATCACAGTACATTAACAAAGATAAATATAAAATCCCTCAGTTGTAGCACAGCTAAAGTGACAGCTCCTCTCTGACAATGTTTAAAACCAGGTTAAAAACAGTTTGGTTTAGCTGTGCTACTACTGAGGTATTTTATATTTATCTTTGTTAGTGTACTGTGATTATTTATTTTAATGCTTTCTTATTTTTCTCAGCACTTCGAGTTGCCTTGTATATGAATTGTGCTAGACAAATAAACTTGCCTTGCCATCGTACTTCCTGGTTCTGGTCAGGACTCGAGCTGCTGCATTTTGAATGTACTGCAGCTGTTGTTGCGGTAGTCTAACCTACTGGAGACAAATGCATGGATAAGAATCTCCAGGTCTGCTCTAGACACTGTTTTTTATCCTGGCAATGTTTAGATGGGAAAAGGATTTGATGTGGCTAATAATATTTACTGATTCTTTCAACTGCTGGAATCGAGACTGAGTGTGCTAGAAAGTGACAAAGTGGAACTCTGGAAGTCCGCCACGGTAGACCTAATGTCCAATGAAGAAGAAGGCGTTGTGGACGGTGTCTCTGAATGGATTGTGCGGTCGCCGTCTTTTCGAAAGCCGGAGTTTTCTGAACTCTGTCAAGCTGCAGTCCTGGTTAGAGGCGGCGCGGAAGTACAGAGCCACGCACATTAAGCGTCTCTCTAGAACGCTGCCAAATTACAACCCCCCGAGGAGGCGATTGGACAGTTCAGAGTTGTAATTTTTTAATTACCTATGTGTGGGCATAAAGCTGTGTGTGTGTGTGTTTTAATAAAGCTTTCTTTGTATGAACATATTCCTGGAAAATGTTTATTTCCTCTATAAATAATATGAATAAATATATATTTCTATAAATATTATTACATTAATTATGAGGCAGGGTGACCAATAGTGACAGATCTGCCAGCCAATCACGAGAGATTATACTTATTTGAAAGTAGTGATTTCATCCAATGGGGAGAAAGCTACCAATGGGGAGTAATCCCACGTGGGCTGGCCACGTGTGATTTTTCAGCCAATCACGAGTTTGAAAGTAGTGGTATCCGCCAATGCTGAATAGTGTTCTGAAGCAGCCGCTGCATTCATATGCTAATTAGGGCCATTAGCGCTCGGCCAGCCGCAGTGTTTCGCTGCATTCATATGCAAAGTAGGGACATTAGCATGGTACGGATGCGGCAGTTTGGAGGACAGGGCACACTAAGGCCCTGTTTATACTGAGACGCTGCGCAGACGTTTCCAGGCTATTAACAGAAACGACTTGGCTCCTAATGCAAATTTCTCTGTGTTCACATGAGGTTGAAAAACGATGTAGTTCTAGCGCCCGGCCAGTAGTGGGCAGATAAACTTTACAACACTCACACGACCCCCAGCCCCCCTCCCGGCAGTACACTCACTTCCTGTGCCAGACCCTCAGAACGCACCAACATCATTCTGCCTTTTAACAGCAGCTGTGAAAATGGAAACTGAACCTAGAGCTTCGCGTGGTCTTGTTTGGACGAACGAAGGAGTAGAATCTTCCTCTGTGCCGCGCTGGAAGCCCACGAAGCAAGTTAGTGTGACCCCCGCCATTGTTGTTTATGTTTGTTCTCCGCTACTGCGCATGTCCAAATTTACGTGCGGGGAGCAGCGCGGAGGCGGGGGTCAGAGCAGAGGGGGATTTCACACCTTTTCCCTCTCGCGGGTGTGAAAGAGCTCCCTGCTGTGCAGGGTTTCTGAGTTGTCCCACTCTGCAGGCTGGATCTGAACACTTACGTTTTCACCCCCCTGAAACACAGTCTTCGTATGAACGGTTGGTAGCAACCGACATCCAACTATACCGTTTTACTGCCGCATTGTCTCCGTGTAAACTCAGCCTAACTGAAAACTTTGAAAACTGCCTGAGATACCCGAAAAAGAGCGTGATTTCCTGCCGTTTAGGGTGACGAAAATCTAACTTTTCATGCAGTGTTTCCCCTATCACTAAAATTTTTTATAATAGGTCTGGCCTACGCCTCCAAATGCCCACAACAATTGTAAAGTTCTGTCAGGGATGAAGCAGACAGAGACGGATCGTGGTGCACAAAATTATTAAAAAACAAAGAAAATGTATGCATTAAACTCATAATCATCCAATCAATATCAGTGGATTTTATCCTCTATCCTGGGGAAAAATAAACAAACAAATAAACAAACAAAAACAAATCAAAAATAAAAACAAACAAACACTATTGGACACACAAGAACTCAGCAGATTCAGTCAAAACACAGACAAAAACGAGCTGAGTCTCAATTTAGAAGCTAATTTAACTTTTCTTACTCTATACTTTTATTCTAATGATAATTGTTTACACTTCACTTAATTATTTTCACTGTATTATTTTCACTTTTCAATCTTATACTGTGTACTTTCTAATCTATTCACTATAGTTTAAAACTATTCTAATCTATTTACAAATATGTTTGCATATTTGCTTCTATTGAGCCATATTCTTAAACATACATTTTAATCTAATAAATCTCTCTGTGGTATTATACTCTCATTATCAGTGGCTTTGTGTCAGTGGGATTTTGCTCTATGTCTATTCTACATTCTCAGGAATAAAACTGAACACAGTAAGGCAAATGGTCAACATTTACACTTCTATAGTGGTCAGTGATTTATTGATTGACTGCGGAACCTTCCGCAGTCAACCATTGGTTTTGTATTTCTTTATTCCGTCATTTTTTTTGACACGTTTCACAGCTTTCACATTTTCAACAATTTCCACAAGTTATACATCAAAACGTTCCACATGTTTGGGAGATTATTGCTATTACTTTTGGGACTTCAGCGATTTCCGGTTTTTCCGCAATCGGACAAAAATCTGCATTGAGAATTCTGCAATGCATTTTAATAGGCCCATGCATTTTAATAGGACTTCAGCTCTTTCAGACATTTCTACAGTTTCAATGATTCAACAGTTTCAAGGATTCAACAGTTTCAAGGATTTCAGCAGTTTCAAGATTTCAAGAGTTTCAAGGACTTCAACAGTTTCAAGGACTTCAGCAGTTTCAAGGACTTCAGCAGTTTCAAGGACTTCAGCAGTTTCAAGGACTTCAGTGTAATCATGCAACCTAATAGGGATTTTTCCATGTAAACCAGTATAATGCAACTTAATAGGGATTTTTCCATGTAAACCAGTATAATGCAACTTAATAGGGTTTTTTCATGTAAACCAGTATAATGCAACTTAATAGGGGTTTTTTCCATGTAAACCAGTATAATGCAACTTAATAGGGGTTTTTACATGTAAACCAGTATAATGCAACTTAATAGGGTTTTTTCCATGTAAACCAGTATAATGCAACTTAATAGGGTTTTTTCCATGTAAACCAGTACAATGCAACTTAATAGGGATTTTTCCATGTAAACCAGTATAATGCAACTTAATGGGGATTTTTCCATGTAAACCAGTATAATGCAACTTAATGGGGATTTTTCCATGTAAACCAGTATTATGCAACTTAATAGGGATTTTTCCATGTAAACCAGTATAATGCAACTTAATAGGGATTTTTCCATGTAAACCAGTATAATGCAACTAATAATGTAAACCAGTATTATGCAACTTAATAGGGGTTTTTACATGTAAACCAGTATAATGGAACTTAATAGGGGTTTTTACATGTAAACCAGTATAATGCAACTTAATAGGGATTTTTACATGTAAACCAGTATAATGCAACTTAATAGGGATTTTTCCATGTAAACCAGTATAATGCAACTTAATAGGGTTTTTTACATGTAAACCAGTATAATGCAACTTAATAGGGATTTTTCCATGTAAACCAGTATAATGCAACTTAATAGGGTTTTTTACATGTAAACCAGTATAATGCAACTTAATAGGGGTTTTTACATGTAAACCAGTATAATGGAACTTAATAGGGGTTTTTACATGAAAACCAGTATAAAGGATAACAGTTTAAAGGATATCAGGAGCTTCAAATACTTCAGGAGTTTCAAAGATGTTTAAAGTATTTTAACAGTTTCAAGGATTTCAAGGATTTTTCAGCTAAATTCCACATTAGATCTGTTCCGCAGTCAATCGCAATGGCTTCAGCCATTGCAACGGTTTCTAGTTACTTT